GAGATGAAAGAAAGAAACTTCGGGGAACTCGGAACGCGCGCGCCGCTCGCGCAACGCGCATTCCCGATGCCGGTGCCCGGTGACCTCGATCGGCGAACTTGTCTTCTTCTGCGAACGAGGTTTCAACCCCCTCTACCACCCCGCGGGATGGACGGGCCGGGCTGGGTTCAACGGAGATCGGAGATAGAACGGCCAGGCCTGTTATTCTGGAGCGATCTGTAGCGGTTTGTTGAACAGCGAGTGTCTCGTTTCGAAGAATCCGCTGGGATGTTAGGGGGCATCGCGGCGATGTTTATGGAAGTTTCTTCTTGACCCTGCTCGCCGGTTTGTTGCTCCCGCAACGATTAGAATTGTTACCGTGGAAATGCGTCCGGTGAATGGGGTATTGTTTCTTGAAGGTGTGTTGTCAGGGGATGATTTGGAGTTGTTTGGACATTTTAAGGGAGTGGAAGTGTCTTGAAAATATGTTGATTAACCCTTAATGGACTGGAATTTTAAATTTACCGCGGTAAGTACGGTAACATAGATAACAAGGAAGAAATTCACCGAAGTTACTATTATATTTAACGTATTAATTGTAGATATTACAATAACAGTGTTGAAAATGACAAAATGATTTTTGCTATCATGTATATGGCATCGGATCTAGTAAGTAAAAATGCTATGGCGCTTATATGGTATATTTTGTTAGGGGATGAGTGTAATTTGAGATTATTCGAGATTATTCGAAACGTGGAATATCTGAAATTTAATGAAGCGAAGTCGCAGAACCGATTGTTCCGCTCGAAGAAGCTCGCGGTGAATCTCTGGGATTCCTTTGCTCGAAAATAAATCATATCGCAGTAGCTAGCAGGAAACAGCGACCAGATGTGGCCCGGCGGCGCGGGACATGTGTGTCCAGGCCATCGGATGACACTCGCTATATTTAGTTCTGTGGGAAAAAGGGGTTCCACAGACATAATTACACCTACGCGAAACCCGGTCTGAGAATGAGACTCGTCCCGATCTAACCTCGATCTCTGATCTTTCCTCCGATCCTCTAGTCTGCAGAACTTTTCCTCGGAATTCACTGCGTCGTGCCGCCATTCTTCTGTTCGTCCCGTGACTACTGATTAGTATTCATCGATAAGCATTTCAATCCGACGTGTCGTTACGTTCACACTGTTTCTTGTTCCGAGAAAACTCATTGTGAAACCCTTTCTTCAAGGTATCGAAGCGTCCCCGGCTTTTTGCGGATGTTCAACGAGGGATCGTTAAAGAGGGTGTAACAAAGTGAATCGGCGTCGTCTTTCTTTTTTTACGAAGATCCGTTTTCAACCTCGGTGTCCCTTTTCTCGTTCAGCGCTTTTTGGCCCCTTTTTCTTCGCTCGTGAGAGAACAAGTTATCATTCGCTGAAGAAATGACTTCTTATGAGAGGGTTGAAGGGTTAATCGACTGAAGGATCGGGCCGGCTGCGATGAAAATAAACAAATTTCTGCCATTGTGAACATTTGGTGTGACCGACGTGATAGGGAGACGGTTCCCTGGACGAAACGAGTGAATCGAGAGCGATCCACGTGGCTTCGGCTCCATGTGGAATGCCTCGAGATCCCACGTGTTGTGATCCACGGAGAGACGCGTGGGAAGACGCTCTTACGGACGTCGGCAGCTGTTCACACGTGTCATTTATGTGCATCGTTGAATATTCACTCATTCTCTCTCCTCTAATAGCGACTTTGAAGTCGAAATTCGGGAATCTTATGCTCAAAGCAGACGGCATTAAGCTAATCAATTTACTTCCCTTATTGCTCTTGCATCATTACTTTCTACAGATGCTCAAAATCAATTCCTTTCTGTTTCCAGATCGACACACCAGTAGAAAACGAAGCGGACGTAGAGGCGGATGGAAACAACCCCGAGTCAACTTCCCCGGAAAAGGGTTTCAAGGGTGAGTGAAAGATCTGCAGTAATTAGCATGCAACAAATTATTCCCTTTCGATTTGCATGCTCCAAAATCTCTTCAATCTCATTTCTGTATAATTTAAACCCTCCGCAGCAACCTCTATTCAACTACCAGCACACTGTCATATCTTAAACCTAATTTCCCTGAAGAAACCATTTCTAACGTTCCAACCTCTTCGAGCGAATTCGAAAGAAGCCTCATAACCTATATAATTCCATTTCGTTTACGATATCGCTTCCAAAGGAATAGCACAGAGCCGATGCAGACTCGCATAATCTTACATCAGCGAACAGAAGAATCAATTATAAAACGAATTAATAGTTTCTCGCTTGCCTGTGAGAAAAAGATGCCGCGAAAAAAGCCACCCCTTCGAAGATAGAAAAGTGGCTCGCGAATCGGAAGTCGTGGAATCTAGTGTCTGCTCGGAATGGGGCGGGCTCGAATTAAGTCGGTCGCGTTCAGAGACGCTCGCGCCGATCTCCGACGAAACCAATCCACTTAACTCCCAACCCCCGAGAGCCACCCTCGCGCGCGAGAGGAAGGTCGTGTCGAGGTTTTGTTCCCGAACAAAAATCTGACAAATATGCCGCGATTTGCCGAAGAATGGAGGCGAAGTGCACCCGCTCGCCCTCTTCCCTCTCGCCTCCCCGTTGGCCCAAGGATCCTTGTCCCTCGCAGACCAACCCCCTCCTTCGACAGGCAGCTTTCTCCGCGGGTCGTGGAGGGCGGCGAGCAAAGGGTGACTCTTAAATTACTTAGACCGAACAAAACGTAACAAATGACGGCGAATCGGGCCACTTATGCGATATTGGCCCATCACCGGCACCCACGTATATTGATACGTCGCATTAGGGCTGCCAGACACCCCCTCGCACGCCTTCCTCGCCCCGGTGATTTCCTCGGGGCCGAGGATCCGTCGCGTTTCTGCCTCTCCGATGGAACCGTGTCTGTCTTGACGAGGAAGCTTCGTGTTTCCGAGGTTCTCGTTGTCGGAAGGGTTGATTTATTAATTTTTGTATTGGTTTGAACTCTGTTGCTTGTTTTACGATAGTGGTTTGTTGTTTTATTTTAATTATCTGGTTGCATAATATGATTAGTGATTCTAGTGGAAGTTAGGTAGGTTTTTGAGACTGTTAGTTTCAAGGGGTTAGCGTATTCATCTTTCCCTTGATTTTATCGTTCAATTTACGGTACGCAATTTTACCTTTGTCTTTCAATTTCAATTTGTTCTTTGTGTTACGTTCAATTTAGTGATTCTCGTGAAATTTCTAGTAGTGACAAGAAGAATTCTTTCTTCTTCGGGGAAAAGTATTCTCGGTGAGCACACCAAGAGTTTCTCACGGGGTTGGAAGCCCGTCATCCCTTACCTCTCTCTCTGTCTCTCTCTCGCGCGCTTTCCGTACTTGGCTTTCGGTTATTAATGGTTTTCGCGAAACTCAGTTCATTAAGGAGCTCGCGAAACTCTCCGCGGCACATTCATGAGAAAGCCACCCCTGAACGCGTCAGGAGCGGTGGTCGCGCTGGAAATTAGCAACGTATATTATTTTCTAGACCCTTCCTGCTCCAAATTCGAAACTCCGTTGCCTTCCCAACCTTCCAAAGAAATTCGAAAATCTTCATACCATTTGATGTCCAATAAATTGGAAATCGTCGACAGATAATGAAGAAACTAGCCGAGAAACTCGGAACGACCACAATTGTTCTCGATTTCATTCACGAATCTCGACCTTTACCCTGTCGATCCAACGTCGCGTCACTCCCTCGTCCTTTCCTGAAGCTTTTTACCGGCGGCTAGAATTACACGCGCTATTATCGCAAAAAAGCTCGAAGCAGATAAGAAGCGGATCCTCGCGCGAGCAATCCGCCGCTCGCGGAAAGTAAGAGATGAAGACATTATCGTGATCGTTGGCCGCGCGTTTAAGACTCGCAAGAACGCAAAGGAGACGCGAAGGGAGAGAGAAGGAGAAAGAGAGAGAGAGTGAAAGGGAGGAGGACGCACCTGTCCATCGGTGCGCTAACAAGGGACGTCACCTGAGAGTGCGCGGAATCGAAACTTCCCTGGAAAAATATGGTCTCGAACCATTATGCTTCAGCGACTAGTTTCTTCGCTTTCCGAGGGGGATGGAGCGAGTTGTTCTATCGATTGAGAATCCTGGTCTCGACGAATCGATGCAGGATTAAGGCACTTCATGTGAATTTCATTTCAACCCACACTTTCTCGAGGAATCTTAAGAATATTCTTAATTCTTCGGAAATACGGCTTCGCTTCTGGTTTCTTTCGATTCTTTCTTCGTTGTAGATGCACCTATTAATTGATAATTTAGATTTTCTGACGTTTATTAAAGCAATTTTTGATTCTATACAGTAGGAAAGTGATAAGTAATAAAAAATACGATCGTGGTTCTTGAAAAGTTAAAATGTGCTAATAAATGTATCCCACTACTTTTCGTAAAAATTGATATTTTCTTCTTGATAGAAGGGAGGTTTCCTTTTTGCTTCTTTATTAATTGTTCCTCCAGTTTCTAAATTTCTCAAGTCGCGAATTACGTTCCTCATATGAATTATAATCCGTAGTTCACGGCCGAGTCTCCTTCCGAGGACTTTTTCCTCGGTCTCGCGGCATTCTAGGCCAAAGGAGATAATGCAATAATAAGTATAAGTTAGGTAGAAACGGGGGGCGCCCGTTTGGCTCGGGGAACCACTGCTCCTCGCAATCTTCGGCTGCCGGCTGATTATTATGTCGTTCCGAACGGGCCCCGAGCATTTTCACGAGCGGTCTGAATGGCTTCGTTGCGTTTTCTCGCGCGGGACTAACTCGGCCCCCTTGTGTTCTTGTTGCTCTCGGGGGTTGTGCTGCTTTTTGAGCCAAGCTATTGGTTCCTGGCGATGGAACCTGCTTCGGAACAACGTAATTCAGAACCTACTCTTTAGAGATCGACAGTATTTCTACCTAAATTGAAATCAAACAGTTTGTTTTATTCATTGTTCATTCAATATTAATCATAAATAGATCAAGTCATAGTCAGTCAAACCATGTTCTTAAACATTCCAAGATTTTTACGAAGAAAACAAAATTATACCAGTATTCAACCCTTAACTACTGAACTAGGACTTCAGAAATTACATCAATCTTCTTCGTTAAGTGATTAATATTTGTAATACCAATAAAATTTCGATAGTGTTATTTGTTTCACTATACATACAATTGATATATTAAAATTTTACTATCCAAGACACAGTTAGAGACGCCTTAACCAGTGAGCTGTTGAGTTCAGTTTGAAGAATCTCTCATTGCGCACAATAAAATCAAATAACAAACTTATCAAACGCAGAGCAAATGCATCCATGATATATTCTAACGACACACTAAAGCAAAACGAAGAAGAATCACACATGTATCTGTAGAAACTAACGATTTATCGTTGAAAAAACGTATACCATTCTGCGTTTCAAGATGACGTGGATGCTTGTCGAACGCTGTTAACTGGTTAAAATTCATCGAAATAATTAAGGGTTAAAAATACGAAGCATTTAGGGTATTTTCAGTTCAAGTGGCGAGGAATCCGAGATCCGAGCAGGACACCGTAAATAGGGAAACGAAAGAACGAGGAACGATAGCAGCGAAATTGATGAGAACGCCTTAGCCGGAGGGCTCCCAACAAAGTCTCCCTCTCGCGCCTTTGTCTCCGCTTTCGTTTCAGCTGACTATGACAAATAATTGCCGAAGCTTAACATAAGCCAGAGGCGGTATACTTAGCTAATAGCAAAAAAGTGGGGGGGGACGGTGGGGAAGTTTCACGCGTGCACGTCCACCGACGCCGAATCGGAGATCTCCGTTTCCTAGTCCTGCTGGCATGTCCTCCGGCGACCAGCGTATCCGCCGGTTTCCGGAAAAACCGACAACCTCGGGGAAAAATTTGCAATTTTTACTGTGGAAGACACCGGTGCAGGTTGAACGCACGTTCCTCTTTGTTTAAGTCGTCGCGCGATGCCATTTTTACGGTTTTGCGCGCCGCAGCTCCTCTAAACTGTTCTGCTTCTAGCTGACTCGCGAATGTAGAATTTCTTGATATCAAAAATTAGTGAATGTCTATATTAACACGTTAAGCACCTTGTCAGTCGCTGATGACGCTTCTGGATTACTCGAAAACAATCGTAACATGCAAGATAACCGAATGAAAGTGTTTAATAACGTAACTAAACTGATAATACTGCAATGCAAGGAGGGTAAATGATTAATAATCGTTCCTACTTTTGCTACAAAAGAATAACTATGGAAAAACAGTGAAGATTTCCGTGGAGCTTAACATCTCAAATACTTTGTCTAGAATTTTCTTGGATCGAATTTCGTTTCAAGTTTATAGTAATCATTCTTCGATCGAATCTTCAGTTCTACCTATTCGCGATTAAGAAAGAATATTCAAACACAATAAACAGCTAGGCCACATCTAAACGTTCCACGTTTCGAGAAATCCTGATGAACGAGCACCTATTCCTCGAATCAAGGACAACTTCAAGTGATTCACACCTCCTATTGAAATACCCGAGAAACAATGTTCTCCGTTCTTACTTAACAGACAGTAAATCGGAGCAACAAGAAAATCCTTGCAGTCGATTCGTGTTTTAATCCTTCGCGTCAGAAAATCCTTTACCGTTCTTTGCCCGTCGTTCACGAATCGCGAGCAAAACTGTACTTCGATCTAGCCGTTTTTTCTCGGTATATACACCCACACACACACATACATACATACCTACATACATATGTATATATATATATCGCGAGAAAGGATTCCGCGGTCGAAGACAAAAGAACCGGTCGACGAGAGAATGGAGACTCGCTCGGTTTCCTGCTAGCCGGAAAAACATTTCGGAAAAGTCAGTGGAGCGCGAAGCGCATTTCATTGGGTTCCATGGCCGCCGGGCCGGGTCCACATAACACGGGGCCACGCGTCGTGAAAGGATAGACCCTTCATAAAACAATGGGCGAACTCGAGTCAACTCGGAGGAGGAACGTTCGCCGTCGAAGAAGTCTGTTTCGGCGAGGAGGAAAGCCACGATAGAAGATTTTGCTTCCCGCTGGTATACAACACGTGCGCGTCCGTGTGCACGTTCGTTCCTCGATGGTTTTTACCGAGAAATCGTAGTCAAGAATCCTTTCAGCTGGACCGGGCGACTGGCGGAACAAGAGAGGAACGGTTTTGTTGTTTCGCCGTCGTGAAAAAGGTCCAGGGCGTGTCCGGATTTTCGGTGAAGAAAGAGAAATTGCGGCGGATAGGCGGATTGATAGGTGAATAATTCGAACGCGTGGCGAAGCGTTCTTCTTTCACTCGTCGGGATCGAAACTTTCGTGTGCTTCGTGCGAAGAATGGGCAATTAGTTTCTTATCGTTCGTCTTGCTCCCAGTTCCAGCCTCTCTCCGTCGTGTTCCCTTCGTCGCTGCTTTCTTTTCCTGTTCTTGCGTGCCGTTCTATTGTCCGTGCATGATCATTGCTTATCCAATTTATACATGCGATCTGTACTATCTGTTGACGACGTCGTTTCCTTTCTCCGCTTGCGACTCGTTCGTCTTCGTCTCGTTCGGCATGCTCCTGTTGATGTACCGTGTAGTTTGTGCGCTCTGATGGGAAGATGAATAATAATCTGCTTGTTCCAGGAACGGAATTAGTGCCGAGCTGATCTGCATCATCGAGGATCAGGGGATAGAGCCAATCGTTTCGTGGCGGGACGTTCGGTGACGATAGTCGATTTAATATAAAATATTTTTGTACGCGAGTTATGATATTCTATATATAGAGATATAAATAATCTGTACATATATGTACGTATATATATATATATATATATATATATATA